CAGTTTCTTTAACTATGGGGATACTACCAATCTCAGAGGAATAAGTAAGACAATCAGCGTGAAAGGGCTGTTTGGACCTCAAAGTATATTGCAAATGTGAACAATTAGAGTCACTGAAAGTCCCTTTCCAGTTCTGACATCCATGAGCAAATTCAGGTCAGCAGATGTTTATGAGGCACTTGCTCCAAGCTGGGTTCCACGCGAGGCCCAGGAAAGAAAGGAAGCCATCCTGGTCCCTGCATGGGCAGCCCGCAGTCTACTGAGAGAAAAGAGAGCCAGCAACGCAGGGCAGTGCTACCAAGGGTGCTATAGAAGCAAGGAGGAGGGGCACCTAATCTGGCTTACAGGTTGGGTATCAGGAAAGATATTTTAGCGGTGGTGAACTTTCAGGGATGTCCTAAAGGATGAGTAAGCAGGCAAGGGCTGAGGGGAGTTGGATCAGGATGAAGAGCAGGTGCTGAGTTAGTGTTTGTTGGGGCAACGTTGGGAGATGAGGCTGGGGAAGTAGGTACGTTGGAGCCAGATCGTGGAGGGCTGATGTTAAGTTGAGGAGTTTGGACTCATCTTGGAAGCTTGGGTCTATCCCACAGGAAGCAGTAGCCCGCCTCTGCGGGTGTAGCATGGCGTGGCGGTTAAGGATCCCAGGTTTAGAGTCAGGTAACCTGAGTTGATAACCTGACTCTGTCAAACACTGGTTGTGGGTCCTAAGGCAAGTGACAAATTCTATGAGCCTTTGTTTCCGCAACTATAAAATGGGCATGAACAGAGAATCCATTTACAAGTGCTGTGATGGTTCCAAGACACCAAGATGTATCTTCAAGTTAAGTGTGCAGTTACCCAGAGCCATCGTCGTCACTAAGAAGAGGCTGCAAGGATTACACAGAAGGCACTAGCTAAGTGGGGATCCTGAAGGGGCTGGATGCTCCCTCTTCAGAGAAGTCTGCCCTGACCACGCTGTACACATGAAATCTAGCTGGATACGTGGGTCTGGCGCTGAGGAGAGAGGCTGGAACTAGGAAAAGGAATTTCAGAGACATCAGCATAGGGATGGCAGCTGAAGCCATGGGAGTGGGTGAGACTTTACAGCAGCCAGGATTTGCTCCACACGTGAGAACTCAGAGAGTTGGCTTATTTGCTTTCTGGGAGGCTCATCTTATTTTCAGTGAGAATCATTTTTTAAATTATAAAGCACATTATAGGCAGTGATAGGAGCTAAAACGGAAGCAGGTCTTTAAGAAGCAGAAAGGCAATTGACTGCTTAGGGGGAATGAGGGTGGGTGGGAAGATATCTGTTAGACAAATGGTGGGGGTGGGGGTGGGCAGAAGGGACTTGCCGAGTGGAAGGAACATCTTGTACAAGGACAGGGGGACCTGGGAGATTCCATCGTGTTTGGGGTACAAGCAGTTTAATCTGGTTAGGGATATGTATTAATATGTGTTTCATAAACCTGGCTTATCCTATGGGTATGGGTATCTGGAAGTGTCTCAGCTCCTCCTATAATTAAATCTCCATTTCTCTCACTCTGGGGCTTTGTTCTTCTTCCTCCAAGGCTCCTCTTAAACCCTTTGCCTGGCTTATGTTTAAACAGCCTTCAGTGCTCAGCTCAGGTGTTGCTTCCTCTGGGAAATCATCTCTGCCCTCACCTATTCCCGGCTTGGTCGGGTGCCCATCCTCTGTGTCCCGCAGCTCCCGAGTCTCCCTCCGTCACTGCGTGTTGCAGAGCACAGGACCCACGCCTCATCATCTCTGCGCTGCCCACACCTGGCGCGTGGCAGATGCCCAGTCTACGTTTGAGGAATGACTAACTTTGCTTCTGATGAGGTCACCCACCAGAAAGCTTCTCAAATGGGAGAGGCCTGTTTTCTGAAGAGGAAATCTTAATTTCTGTTTTATTTTTCCGGGCTGAATTTTAAATTATATTTCTAGTTTAGAAAGGTCACAGGGCACATCAAAAGTAAAATGCCATTCTGTATAATCAGTAATCCTAGCCAAGTAAGACTGACTGTGGAGGAAAGAAGATACAGACTCGTGTCCTGGGATAAATTCTGACAGATCTGTTTTTTTTAACCTGGGATTCAAGCCCCTCTCCAGAGACCACTAAGGAGAGCCTGCCTGAGAATGAAACCAACCCAAAGGAAAACACAATCAAGAGATAGACAGATTCCTGACCATATCATTTGAACACCTGGACTTTGCAGTTACATGAGCCAATAAATTTTCTACCGTAAGGTAGTTGGAGTGGGGTTTCTGTCACTTGAACTGAAAGAGTCCTGACTGATCTGCTCACATAGCTGGGGCTAGATGTCTAACTCTGGCACACCTGATGCCAAACCTCTCAGTGCCTTAGTTTCCTCACGTGGACAGTGAGGGTATTTAGCCCCTGTTTATAGTTTTAGGCAGTGCGGTGATGTTACTAGGACTGGGATAGCCAGTTCCCTGTACCAAAAGATGTGTAAGTGGTCAGAGACACGAACAAGCAACCAACAAAATTCGGCGCACGTTATTCTGCCACCTTTCTGTTGCGTTTATTCCCTGCAGTAATACCGGAATTTTGACACTACAAAGGTTTAGAAAAGGCATTTCCAGTAATGGAATACAGTTTAGAGCAGGGATTGGCAAACTTTTCCTGTAAAGGAACAGACACTATATATTTCAGGCTTGTGGGCCACACAGTCTTCATTGTAACTACTCAACTCTGCTATGACGGGGGAAAAACAGCCATAGACAATACGTAAATGCACAGGCATGGCTGTGTTCTAATAAAAGTTACTTTATAGACACTGAAATTTGAATTTCCTATCATTTTCATGTGTCACAAAAGGGTATTCTTTTGACTTTTTTCCTCAATCACTTGAAAATGAAAATATTCTTTGCTTGTGGGCTGTAGAAGAGGTGACACACGCCAGTTTGCTGAAGCGACCTGCACCGGACTAGGTGTTCTGGGCCTGGGTTCCACCTATGTGATCCTGGCCAAGTCACTTTGTTTCTTTGGGTTTCCATTTTTCCCATCTGGACAATGACAGGGCTATATGAAGTGGTCTCTCAAGGCCCTTCAGCTCTCAAATACCAGGATTCTGATATTTCATCCAACAAATACTTATTGGGCATGTATTACAAACCAGGCATTTCTTTTTTTTTTTTTGAGACAGAATCTCACTCTGCTGCCTGGGCTAGAGTGCTGTGGCATCAGCCTAGCTCACAGCAACCTCAAACTCCTGGGCTTGCACGATCCTGATCCTCCTGCCTCAGCCTCCCAAGTAGCTGGGACTAAGGTGTGTGCCACCATGCCCGGCTAATTTTTACTATTTTTAGTAGAGATGGGGGTCTCGCTCTTGGTCAGGCTGGTCTGGAACTCCTGAGTTCAAGTGATCGTCCTGCCTTGGCCTCCCAGTGTGCTAGGATTACAGGCAGGTGTGAGTGAGCCACCACACCCGACAGGCATTGTTTTAAATGTTGAGGATATAGCAGTGATAGAGTCCCTGCTTACATGAAACTTACATGCTGATGAAAAGAGACAAAATACATTTATATATAATGTTGGGTAGTGCTAAGTGCTATTTAAAAAATGAAGAGGGCAGGATTGGAGAGTGACAAGGCTGTAATTTTAAGAGGGAGGACAGGGACTGGCTCTTGATCAAAAGACATGTTGAGCAGAGACTTGAAACAAATGGAGCGGGCTGTGTGTCTATGTGGGGAAAGAGCACTCCAGGCAAAGGCAGGAGCTGTGCAAAGGCCTTGTGTTTAGGGACTAGCAAGGAGGCCAGTGCAGCTGGAGCACAGCGAGCAAGGGTAGAACAGTAGGCTACAGGGTCAGACAGGTAGTCAGGGACAGGCCATTTAGGGGTTTAGTCTTTGATTTTATTCTAGGTGTGATGGAAAGCCACTGGGAAGAGAATGACATTTTAAAAGAATTTTAAAAAGATTGCTTTGGCTACTGTGTGGAAAACGGACCATAAGGAGGCAGGGAGACAATTAGGAAGGTATTGCAACAGTCCAGGCAAGAGATGATGGTGGTTTGAATAAAAATGGTGGTAGTGTTGGAGGTGGTGAGAAATGGCTGGATTCAAGATCTATTTGGAAGGTAGAGTTGACAGGATTTATCAAAGGACTAGATAGGAGGAGAGAAAAAAGAAATCAAGGATAAATATGCCGGGATCAAATCATATTTTAGGAACATAAATGATTACACACAGGGTATGTTTAACATTTGTGAGACAATCCTTTTCTTTTATATAGCAGTAGAAAAATCACAGATATATTTGCTCATTTAGAAATTAACTGTGCATACCTTAATAATCAAGGGACAAGGCTGTAGAATACCTGGTTTCATGAAACTTGTGCTATTGATTTTTGAGATGCTTTGAAAAATCTTTCCTCATGAGATTCTCTTCCCCAATACTGATTCCAATTATAGAAAATCAACTGGTTAGGGTTACATTTTGTATTTGATAAAATAGGAACTGAGATTAAGGAGATAGTTCATATCTCTCTCCTGAATATTTCCTTGAATTCTTCATCCTTCTATAAATCAAAATTATAAGTGATGTAATTTAGGAACCAAAATAATTAGCCAGCAAATTTTACTTAAAGTACTCATAACAAAGAGTTGATCAAGTTAACACTTGTATTTCACAAACCTTTCGTCAGACTTTCAGCATACTTACGATACATACACTTATTCTTTTGAAACCCCTACTTTTGAAAGAGAGACTAAACATGGTATGATACTTGTGGAGACTTCTATTAACAACTTTTTTTCAAATAGTGACATCTGCAATGAGAACAGCTGGTCTCTCATCTCTAACAACAGAGGTAGGTGGGCAAACAGGGTGAAGAGAACTGCCTCTGAGGCGGACTCTAGCCGGAGCCCTCTGCACAGAAGGCACTTAGAAGCAGCACCCCACCTGGACACACTGGCCAGAGTCCTCAGTGGCAGTAAGCCTACCAGAGAGCTGTAGTCCGTTTCAGTAAATGGACGAGAGAAGATAAAACACACAGACACTGTCTTACATTTATTCACACGGAGGGATAAGACTTGGTACAAATAATAAACATTGCTTTAAATACAAATAAATAGCTCTGGTTTCTAAAGGAAACAACTATATATAATTCTAAGTATTTTCAAAGTTTCCTATTAAAAATAGAATACTATTTTGCTTTAAGTAAGTTCTACTCCACGAGAACCCCTTTGAGGACTTAAGGATAAAATGGTGATTTCTAAACTCCGAGAAGTCACCAGAAAAATGGGAGACAGTGCTCCCACCTCTCTGAACTATCCCCCAAATGAGAGTTACTTGCATCATAGATAGACATAGCTAATAAATGCACAAAGTATTTGACATTTAGAGCTATCTAAAAAGATTAACCTTGGGAAAAGTGATAAGAATTTCTCTGAACAGTTCTGTGCGTTTTGAAACCTCACTATGCTAAAGTTTTGATTCAGCTGTCTTAAATTAAATTTATACTCACGGGAAGACTTAAGTTCCTATAATGAAAGGTTCCTCTTGCTAGGAACAATAGTGGTAAATAGTCTGTAATCACCAGGAATGGCACCTGGAGTAACAAAGTGATTGACCTGGTAAAGGAGCAGCGGTGCTGCCCAGTGAAACAGTCTGTCAAACTTGGCACCAAAATGACCAAAACTGTGCTGAAGAGACACACTCCCAAATCTGTTGGTTTAGTTATTTCTCTATATTGTTATATTTAGAATGCTCAAAGTGGCAAAAATAACTAGGGAGAAGTATGTTCTAGAAGAATCATTTTCAAGTCATGCAGTCTTTTAAAACTACCTACATCATGAGGTTGTTACAATCTTGGTGCCAGAGCAGTGTTTGCGCCATTGACTCTCTGTGCCTACTGCATGTCGCCTCCTCATCCTGCACAAGATCATGCAACCTCTTCTACTCAGACCTCTACATGATTATTAGAAAATAATATGTTGGATAGTGATAATATAGCCATGTTTGGGTTTTTAAAGACATTTTGCCTTTTCTATTTAGATTGACCATGATACAATTCCAAACAGAACATTCTCATGCTATAAAAACAATCTCATGCAAAAAGTGCAATTTTAAAAGTTCCACATTAATAACAACATTTGGTGGTATAGAAGGCAGGATTATTTAGATTTTAAAAATATGATCACTACAGAATAAAAGTTGGATTTCCAAACAGAACTTCCATTGTGGTATAAAAATGCTAAATTTGATTCTACAGTTTTGTCAATGCAAACAACTGTAAGATATATACCATGTTTTCCTAATTGGGATTTTGAAATAATAAGCATAATTCTTAAACAGATCACTACAACATTTGTTCAAAGAACCAGCTCCCTTTGGCCAAGAACTTTCTTTTCTAGTCCAATTGGAGAGATTTTCATAGTAAATTCTGGAACAACAGTTCTGAACATGATTTGAAATGTCTCTCATCCCCCTCCTTGTCTCTTACTTGTCATGTTGTAAAGACATGTGAGCACAGAAAAATGCTCAATTTTTTAAAAAAATGGATGTTAATACATTTAGTTTCCTGATTTAAATAATAACATTCTGTATATTTGCCTTTATCTCTGGCACACTATAGAATGTTTCTGGAGTTACAAATCCAAACAAACCAGCCAATTAGAGCATCCCAGGGTTCAAATCACAATTTGGGACACAATCCTATTTATTCTGGATGATGCTCAATTCCACACATAGTTCAGGAAGAGACATCCATAAGAACATCCAAAACACGTTACCAAACTCTTAACATGTGACTGTGCTCTGTTAGGTAGTACCATTCACATCTACAAAGTACAAAGGTAGAGGATTTCAGATGTGGAGACCAATTTGCTTTGGCCACTATACTAATTCACAACCATCATCTTCGAGATTTCCAAGCTGTTCTAGAATAAGGAGTAGTCCTTTTTTTATCTGGTGGCTTAAAGTAGGAATAAACAGGCGCTGCTGGATACTCTGCATCAGGATTTTCTGCCATCATTTTCAGCTTTGCTTCAATGGCTTTTATCTTTGCAGTGACACTGAAAAAAGGACAGCGGAGGATCAGAGTAGACTTAGGTACAGTCAGAAAATAGTTGTATATTTCATCTCCTTGTGCCTCTTACACGCACATCAAAGAAACAAGATACCATATTATGAACATTTAAACATTGTATTTAAAAGACAAAAATAACTAATGCTCTCATTTTAAGAAAGAGATTAAGTCTGAACCATCTATTAAGTTTTTAATATAAGCCCAGACATTTGTTAGGAGTACTTCATGTATCTTTACATTTACTCTTCAGACTATACACCATTTAGCACCTCAGTGCTAGGCAGAGAGCAGGCACTAAAAATAATTCTTGCAGGACTGAAAAACAACATTATAAGGTATGTTGTATTCCTTATTTTGCAGATGAAACTGAGGTAAATGTGGTAATAATAAAGTCTACCATTCACAGAGTATTTACAATGAGCTAGGCACAGCGCCCAGCATTTTACTTACATTGTTTCTAATCCTTGCAATAATTCTATAAGGGTTACCATCCACATTTTACAGATAAACAAATGCAGAGGTAGAGATGTGCCCAAGGTTGACCCAGCTAATGAATTGCAGAGCTAGAATTCAACCCAGTTTATCCCTAAAGCCCTTGCTCTTTCCTCTCCATCAGGCTGGGATCTGAACAGTCCAGAGAGGGTGAGTAGACACTGGAGAAGTTGTGAGGGATCTGCTTTTGATCGAGGTCTTTGCTATCCCCAGA